GGGGAGGGGGGGGGACTGGCCGGCGCGCGCGGCAAAAGGTAGACGGGAGTCAATTTTAGAACATGAATTATGGCTGACATGTTAATTAGATTGGACGCATCGCGTGCTGCTGCTGCGCTCGGGCGGAGCGGCGGCAATACCAACACACACGTCCTGATCGGGGAATATTGCATTTCGTGTCCAAAGCCTTTTGTTCCATCTCCCGCGGTGGCGGCGGCGCGGGGGCGGCTGAGCTCTGCTGTGGGCCCCTCGGGGGGCGGCCCGGCCGACACCCCCGACACCTCGGCCGGGCGGGGCGGCCCTTTTGGTCTCGAAGTAGTGGAGCCCCAATCAGGAGATGTAATAATTTTCGTACGGCCTGTACTACCTTCCACCGCCGCCGCGCCGCCCGCTGTTTAGCCTGCCATCGTTAATCACGCGCCTAATCGCTTTGTGACTTCGGCCGATGGAAATTAATAACAATAATAATAACAATAACAACAACGGCCGGGGTGTTTACTGATACCGTCTTGCGAGGCGTTGCTTACGACGCCCGGTTTTATCAATTCGCCGCAGAAAGTAGTATCCGCCGCGCCCCACGAGTGGAGCGGGGCGGGCGTGCACGAATTGCTTTAGGGGGTGGCAACGGGAAATTCGAATAAGACAAAAAACTTGAAGTCCAAAGGCCACCTTTTTTGAGGGGAAAGGCGCGGGTACTTTTCCACGGAACTTAATTTTAAATAGTCTCTTTTAATCACGAGAAGGAAGTGCCCTGAAAAAGTGACCGAGCCCATCCCCCCAAATGTGACCTTTGACCTGTAGTTTTTGTCTTATTTTAACAAAAAATAAATTTGCTTAAATTTTCCCTTCTAGAGATTCAAAAGTATGTAATGCACCTTGGGGGATTAATTGGAGAAGGGACCATGTCGTGGGTGTGGTTCAAGGACAACCCCCGCGGCCCCCACGGTCAGCATCACACAGCATGGTATACGCGGGGCTCAACTTGCTCGGAGGAAACCCACTTAATGTTGCTGATCAACACAACACACACATCATAACACCGTTCTGCCTGTCTGTCCGGCCAACACCTTTACCGTCCTCTCTCTCTCTCTCTCTCTCTCTCTCTCTCTGGACCGCGCGTGAGTCATCCTCCGCCTCCTCCGAGGCGTCAGCCCGTCTGGTCCGGCTCACTTAGGCCCCTGCGGCCCAGCGGGCGATTACTCTGCCTCCTTCACCGCAGCAGTCGCCGTACTTATTGCGTTTGAGCACGCTGGGCGCGGCTGGGCGTGGACGCACTTTATCTCCCTATAGCAGCGCGGCCACGCCACGGTATTACTCACACAGGCCCAGGTGTGTGTGTGTGTTGTTTTTCAGTTAGTACCGCAGTGTCTTACTCATGCCCTTCACCCCCCCCCCCTCTCTCCCTCTCCCTCTTACTTTCTGCTCTAGGCCCTCCTTAACAACCTTTAAGTGTTGCGCGGCTTTTCGATGTCTAGACGACTCCCACAGTATTTAACACCAGCCACGTCCAGTGCAAAAGGGCGTGACCACATTATGGACTCTTCTTGTGCTGCTGCGTTTTTAGCAGATGATACGTAGTAATCAGCAGCTTGTACTCAAGTAAAGTGCAAAAGT